TCCCTTGACTGGGACTATGGAGGGGGGAAGGTTTTACCTTGTTCATTTTCGTTTTCCTTTTTCATTTTGTTTTTGTTTGGGAGGGTCTTGCGTTTAGAGAGATTGATTAGGTGGGCAAGGACTTGGAAATAAAACAATACAAAAAAAGAACATTGCACATCATATAATAAACGTTGCTTGGTTCGATCGACTCTGATGTTCATCGCGCCTGCATAAGGCGCTAAGCCTTAAATAACCGTAATTGAACCACATTATCTCGCGCGTTATTACAGGGCGCCCTTCCAGTGCAATCTTGGTGTTCATCTCCGGCAGGATAGAAAAGATACTCCGGGCTGGAGAATAACCCTCGAAAAAATCACGACAAAAAGAATAACCCTCGAAAAAAATTATGAAAAAAAGAAACTGGGACCATTCCAAGAATTGCTTGGATCAAGAACCTCTCTCGGTCCGGGAATCGAACCCGGGTCTTCCGCGGGCTGATCAATGGCGATACCAATTGACAGGCGGAGATACTGACCACTATACTAACCGAGACTGTGTTTTTGAAGAGTGCCTTCGGACCGCCATTGATAAGGCCAAAACGAGGTTTCGAACACCCGTTTGACCTCCACTTCCGTTTCTTTTGGTTTTTTGCCGGATTCTGGGCGGAAACAACAATCAGAGTCGAAAGGTAGGTAGTTTGCGCGGAATAGCTGTCAGCCGAACTTTGTATGTCAAACTTCCCCTCTTGACCGGTCTGTTTCTGAATTGTATACCCAAGCAAAATGACTTACATATCCTATGGGAGCAACATCAGCCGCTAGGTTGTGATGTTGGTTTTTCGCTGTGCGTGGTGTATATATATTGAGGGTGGGAGGATTTGTCGCATTTTCCCTTTCTGTAGACGTAAATTAACGACCGCAGCTCCGGAGTTCTGCGGTCCCCAAGGCACAAATTTCGACTGTGTTTTTTATTTCGGCTTGGAGACTGGACGCCTCGGTAGTGAGATTTCGTTTTGGCGATTGAACAGGAAAACAGCGCGTTCATTTATTGTTGGCCATCCATTCATTATCCGTGGTGGCGAATACCGACCTGATTTCACTAATACCGCATCGCTTACTCCTTTTTTTAACCCGAAGTCGATGAAACTTGCCAGCATTGTAGTCGACGCTGGAAAAAAATGGCGTCAGTGTCATCCACATGTATGCGTCTCGTGGTTGATTTGACCACGGTATCCACGAACGACTGCGCGGAAACGCCTGAACGTGTCCTGTTGAAAATAATGATTCCCATTTCCTATTAGAGAAGGTTCAAAAGAACGTAAAAATGCGGAAAAAATAGGGGGGTCGGCGGTGTTCTCTTATTTCGAGGCTTGTTTTTGGAGCCTGACCCGAAGCGACGCTTTCTGGAATAGTGGCTGGGTATCACGCCCGTGAATATATAGACGCAGCGTGTGTTTTGGGTGTCCAAAGTTCAATTCCGCGAGAAAGAATGAAGATTGTGGTGGTGCTGGGTGCCGGAGATGGAAGAAAATGAAAGGTCTCCGCCGCAACGAGGTGCCATGTCGTGGGTATCCAGCTGTATTTTGCTACAAATGGTGGTCGAAACGTTTTTTTTCGCTGGTGCTTTTGTATTTGGCTAGGGTAGTGGTCATTTGGTTTTCGGTGGGAAATTGAGAGAGCTGACTTTCAAAGCCTCCGTGGCCATTTCAAAAATTGTCTTCGGAATACGGTATCGCCTGGTCGTGTATTCGGCCAGGGTAGCTGTCATCAGGTTTTCAATGCGTCGGAGGGAGAGGTCGGCTTACAAGACTCCGCGTCCATTTTGATTGACGTCGACCAACAAAGCACGAAAGGCGTGCGGCGGGGGGTTGCCCACCCACTACCCACTTTCCACTGGTATCAACCTGCGTTTTTTTGTGTGGCCCATGTTGCTAGAACGTAGTGGTATGGACAGAACGGTACCAATTCAGGTTGATGGGGCTTCTGATTCGCGCTCTATCTCAATACTTGTCAATTGCGGACAGTTTAAATGGGAATTTAAAGATGCCGCCCGGCATCGGACAGGATGATATGTATCCTACCACTGTGGTGTTTCGGCAGACCAACGGAAAACAGGTTGATGTGCGCCCGAGTTTTTTTTATCAAACTCAATTCATGCGCTCTCATGAGATTGCTCTGAGGCATCTCCTTGGCAGTGTGCTTCATGTTGTAATTACCCTCGTCCCTAAGGATGTGATGAGTGACGTCGCCCCCACCGCTGGGACATGTGCCCCCCGGTTTGGGCAAACCATGGTTTATTTCGATTCGTTCCCCCAAGTCGAGATACTGAAGACGAACCCCCAGCGTGGACGTCACTTCACATTTGGTTGCTGATTCGTTAATTTAGTTAATACGCTTTTTTTTCCTTGGGACATGAAATGTTGATACGCTACGCAACCCCTGAAAAGAATAAAAAAATTGCGGGAAGATTACAGCCTACTGGCGAGTTGGGGAATGTCGACCCCAATACTTCCGCTGCGCCCTTTCCAACAAAGCACTCGACGCGGTGTACTTTGCGAGTTTGGGGGGGACACCCTCCATTTCCACCGCTTCAAAACCCCCATACACTGGTCGATCAGCAGAAGTGGGAACCCACCCTTCAAATCAATCCAGAAGCGTTCACAATACCTTACCTGAGTTGTCATGGGGCACCGGTTTCCAGATGGCAACTATAGCCAACATGGCAGGGGGCAACTTTTTTCGGCTTTTGAGGTGTTTACAGGATAGGTGCTCCGCTCACTCAAAACTGCTATGCATCGCGACTCTAGACATGTTATGACAACCGTTAGGCAGGACACCATTTCAACCCTTCTTAACTGATGTTCAACTCTGCCCACATCGCGGGATTTCGACATAGTTTGCAAGACTCATGACGCATTTTCTGGGCCACTTATCAACGAATGTGTTCCCTTTTTAAAATGGAGCCTGGATACAGCTTTTGACGTGCTTGAACGCTGTTTATGCTTACCGCCCCGCTCATCGCGGGTTGGCACTGCGATCTCCAAGTCGTCAAAGTCAAGATCCCCCTTTTTTTGGCGTGCTGCTCAATGAGAACTTCCCAAGAATGCGGAATGGAATGGATTCAATTTTAAAAAAAGAACTGACGTGAAGGTCCTATGGCAGGCAATGAAAGCGGAACTTTCGTCTCCGCCTGGGGCAGGGATCACGCTCCTTTCATCTCCACCTATCTAGTACTGTAAACCTACCTGATCGTGGTGCCCGGCCCTGGCGGACCGGAGGACTGATTAAGTATTTTCTGGAAGGTTGTGATACTGATTGGTGTCCACACACTCCCCAATCCAGCGTATGCAAACACTGGGATTGGAAATTCACCCTACAGAGTCAGTCAAGTGCTGCGGGGTGTTCCATTGACCCTCGGCACATGAGACAACCCCACCGTGGCGCATTTTTTTGTGGGATTCAGGAAATTACGCTGTAGAGTGGACGTATGGACATATATGCATCACCCGGGGAGTGCCCAAAAAAAAGTCACCATATTCGAAAATAAAGCACAGGGCATGGTGGGACGGTCTGGTCCTTACCAACCAACAGGGACCAAAATACCGTGGGGTTCCGGATCTGGTCGCTCAGCCCATCAGTTGTATTAGAAAGTAAATTGTTAGAGCGAATCAAGACTCGGTTGAACATGATGCGAGCCAAAAAAACTTAAGTTCGGGACCAATACTGCACCAGCACCAGTGGAAATGAACATACGCGGTGCTTGGTTGGTTCGAAGAGATCCTCAAGGGTTGGGGTGGTGGTTTTCGGGGCCTAAAGTCAAAACTGCGCTTTGACGCCAGCCGACTTCCCACAAGGGTATCCGACCCAGTTGCGAAACCGAGCTACCCTCACCGGAGGACTTTCGTGTCCTCCCGGAAGTTAGAAACAAACTTTCGTTGGTCCAATTCCGTCGTCCGTCAAGCGCATTTTGGTGTAGCGTGAAGAACGAGGAAACCTCTGCGGAGTTCAAAACAACTCAGTAGTGGACCTTGGCCATGTTAAGGGGTCGGGGTTTGCTTATCGAAACTTGTTCCCGTCATTTTTTCGGTGTTGGCAATACTTCGCACATCTGGAGGGTACCTCACAGACGAACCCCGCACGAACCAAAAGTCAAAACCACCCTACAACGCAAACGTCCCTACCGTGAAGTCCGACGTACAGTTGGACTTTCGATGTGGAAGGGAGTATCCCCTCAATTTCTTTTTTTCACAAAAATATGCGGTCGAATACGTCAAAAAAGGAAGAGGCGATAAGTGGACAAAGGCCGAAATCGGGGTGAACTTCACCAACCGCAACGGTGCTTTTGAATAATGTGGTGTGCAAGTGATCGGCGTGATGCGTGTTTGTGTACATTGGAATGCGCGAAGGAGACTGTAGACGATGGGCCCAAAAAATAACGGGCACGGACCAGGTTGGATGATGGGTCGCCAAATTGAAACAGCAGACTAAGAAATGTCGTTTCACCAAACGTCCGACCCTTTTGAGGGACAGTTTTCCACTACCACAATAAGCGACGCCCCATTTAACTTCAAGGGCTACCAGCCGCCATTTTTGGGACCACCGCGTTGCCGTGTTTGGGACCTCGCAATTCATGACCCTTACCTGTATTTACCTTCGGGTAAGAAAAAAATAGAGCTCGCTCAAAGCAGCTAGTTAACGCGGCATGAACAACACTTTTCGTGTGCCGACGGGTGAAAGGGTTGGTCGCACTCTAAGTACCCCTGGGGTTGTGACGCTTCAAAAACAGGCATTGTCATCTCCGACTAAGCATGTACGGGTTTGGCAGCCGCAATACTGGAGGCTCCTCTACCATCGGTTCCATTCCCATCGTATTCCACTGTGTAGGACACCGCGTCCGATGGAACGAGGGGCGCGTTGGGAAAACCATAGGAGTTAGTAAATAAGAAAGGGAAAGACACAAAAAAAACTTACGAGGTCGTCATAAAGTAGTACAATAGGCGGGCGGAAACAGACCTTTGCCATATCTCTTATGTGGCAGCGGGATCTGACGCCATTACAGGAAGTTGTAGTATCAAATGCAAGAAAGCGACATATGATCTTGTTTGCACTCTCGTGCTGTTTCGTGTGGAGTCGTGTTGCGGTCCAGAAAGGGATGATGCGTACCGGCTGCTGATTGAGAAAGTCGACACCACAGACTGATTGGGTACCCATTTGGAGCGATGGAAGTATCCAGTATATGCGCACTGTTGCCGGCTTTTTTCTTTGTTTGCTTCTTTGGGTTTTCGCGCAGAGGGTGTATATTACGGGAAGCAATCGGTGTTTGGAAAAAGAAAACCCCAGTCGACTCGCATCCTCGTTCGGGCGTCTTCTTTAGTCTGTTAGTGGGGAGGAGCTCCCTTTCAATTTGTGCGCCGCAGCAGAGACGTTGATGAGACAGGCAGCCGAACTCCTGTTATGCGGCGGAAGAGGGGAACCATAAGCAAGAGGTTGTCCCATGATGATTGCAATCGGCGGAACCGCTGATAAACCTGCTGCAACCATACGTCGCTCTGG